GTCATCAGCTGCCGCAGTGTTTGATCAGCATTCTTGTGCTGCCGGAGGTGGACCGGAGCTCGAGTCACTGACTCAAGAGCTGCTGGCGTCGGCGAGGGAGCCTGAGTTTTTCGAATGGATGAGAGGGTTGAGGTGGAGGATCCACCAGTACCCGGAGCTGGGATTCCAGGAGCATAGGACGAGTGAACTCGTCAGGACCGAGCTCGACTCGCTGGGAGTTGGGTACAAGTGGCCTGTTGCCAAGACTGGGGTGGTGGCTTCTATTGGCTCTGGCTCTAAACCAGTCTTTGCTCTTCGAGCTGACATGGATGCCCTCCCTCTCCAGGTTCTCTCTCTATCTCTCTCTCTCTAGAAATTGGACCAGAACACTTTTTTAGCGTATATCGTTCAATTTTTCTTCAATAGTTCAGACTATTTCCAATTTTTCTTCAAAGTTCCACTTCTCTGCCTGTATTTTCAATTTCATCGAATTTAGTCCATGTATTTCCAGCAAGTGTATTTTCAAGTTCTACTTATGTGTAATTGCTTTTGTTAGAAGTGTTTTTATTATAAACATATTGAAATTCTATTAAAACTTCAAGAGGTACCTGAAAAGCATTTGGAGTGCTTCATGAAGAAAGCACCTAGCAGCCAGTGGCCTATCCAGAATTCTAACATCGGGTTGTCCTAATCAAGATACACTAGCGCTTGGCAGACAGTGGGTTGAGACCTAACGCCTATGCGCATAGACGAGGTCTAGGTAGAGGCTTAAGCGGATTTAAGTAAATTTATTATAAATTATATAGATAAGTGCATATTTGCACTAAAAAATTATACTTATTTAAAATATAACATAGAAAAACATCAGAACTATTGTTTTAGTATTTTAAAGAATTTGACGGTATGAGATGCAAGTTGTGATTACACGAGTTTGTAGTACTTTACAGAATATTTTAGAGATTGTATGAATTTATAGTGAATTTAAAAATAAAAAAAAATTGTGTATACCCCATCCCTTTATTAAATAAATGGCTGGTGAAACAACTTGGTTGGATAATAATGAAAAAATAAGAAAAAGGAAAATGGGTAGTTGTTCACGTGGGGAACGAAGGGAGAGTTTCTTCTTCGTTGGAACGAAGAACAGCTGAGTTATGGTCGTCTTCTCTATGCTCATCTTCGTTTGAAATTAGATATTTCTCATTGATTAAAAGCTTCTGTTGCACATCATTTTCACAACCATGATGATCTTCTCTCTTCCACCACATGTCTAGGCCGTTGGGTGGTCCTCGAAAGTCCTTATAGGTGCTTCTTTGGACTTGTGGGTGGTCCTGGAACCATCTTGGTCCATGCATCAATCCACCCCTACTGGCAGTTGTTTATGTAGAAAACGCTTCTATGACCCAAAATCACCTTTAAGTATTTTCGCCAAATGTTTTGAAGGAATTGGTAGATTGGGAATACAAGAGCAAAGTTGATGGAAAGATGCATGCTTGTGGTCATGATTCGCACGTCGCAATGCTACTTGGAGCAGCCAAGTTGCTTCAAAACAAAAAAGATTTGTTGAAGGTAGATAAATACACTGTGTTTAACAGCAAAAGCTACCAATCTACTACTTTGCAGGTTTTAATATTTCAACATGTTGTCGAAGGGAACCGTGAAACTAGTTTTCCAGCCTGGAGAGGAGGGTTACGCTGGAGCTTACCATATGTTAAAAGACGATGTTTTGAATGACATTGACGCCATCTTGAGCATACATGTTTTTCCATCAGTACCAACTGGTGCCATAGCTTCGAGGCCTGGGGCAGTACTTGCTGGCGTGGGGCTCTTTGAGGCTACAATACAAGGAAAAGGAGGGCATGGATCATCCCCTCATGAGGCCAGGGACCCAATTCCTGCAGCAGCCTCTATAACCATTGCACTCCAACAGATTGTGTCTCGAGAGACAGATCCACTTGAATCCAGAGTAATCTTAATCCCTTTTTCTTCTGTGAAAATCAATCAAAAGTTTCGTAAATGAAGTTGTACATTTCAGAATTATACTAGCAATTTAGAACAACAATTTTGATCCATTCATCTTTGTATCATGTAGGTGGTAACAGTAGGGTACATACAGGGAGGTCAAGCAGGAAATGTGATTCCCGACAGTGTGAAAGTCGGGGGAACTTATCGAAGCTTGACTTCTGAGGGTCTCTCATATCTGCAAGAAAGGATCAAAGAGGTGTACATATCGCCATCTTATCAAATATCATAAATGTCTATTCAATGTAAGTAGACTTGACTAAATATGTTGCACTTATAGATCATAGAGCAGCAAGCAGCCGTGTATCGATGTACGGCTGTGGTGGACTTCATGGAGGACAGACCACTGCCTCATCCGGCGATGAAGAATGACGATGCACTGTACGAACATGTGAAGAATGTCGGTGAGGTCCTTGTTGGGAAACCTAATGTTCATCTTATGCCGCTGACTATGGGTGCAGAGGATTTCAGCTTCTTCGCAGAGAAGACTGCTGCTGCAATCTTTTTTGTTGGGATAAAGAACGAGACTCTGAAATCGGACCAACACTTGCACTCTCCCTACTTTTTTATCGACGAGGAGGCTCTTCCAATAGGAGCAGCACTTCATGCAGCGTCTGCAATCTCATACTTCGATCGCCATGATGTCAACACTCAGTAGGAACATGGTTTACTCCGCAATTCTAGAAACAAGGAACACGAATGTAAAAATGTTTTAGAAAATAAATGCTGCACCTTTCAGCACTCATATCGCTTGGCAATTACCCTAATCAACTAAGCAGAGCATACTTAGAAAGCCATGTTGCTAATGACTGAGTATAAACATTGTACTATCTTCACTTCTTAAAACATACAGCTTTTGCTCTTGAAATTTCTCCAAGCACTCAGAAGTCAAATTTGAGTCTATGCTGGAATAACTGGCACCTGAATTTGGCGAAGAGGGAATCGTATACATGATATGGTTCACTTCCTAACAGCATCCAGACGACAGTACCTGAAAAAGATCACGGTCATAAGCGCGCATTTCAATCCCAAAGTGCTAACTCCATAGCGTCATAAGATCTCCAATGAGCCACATTTGTGTCGCCATTCTCTTACTCGAGGCGATGAGTTAGACTTTCAGCAAACAAAATGCCTACACATATTTGTTGAAAATAACTCAGACATTTCATCAAACACCTTACGCGCGCGCACAATCTCCCTACATTTTCCATACAAATCAGTCAAACTTGTTCCAACAAACGCATCCAATCAGCCCCACGCCTCACCGCCGACCATGTATTTCCCGGCCCCCCGGAACTTGCTGACGAGAGACGGGTACGTATACCCATCCGGAACGCCCTCCTCCCTCTTCTTCCGATCAGAGACAGGGTCGAGAAAAACGACGGTCGCTTATTCTCTAACAACTCTTGTTATTGGCCAAATTTACTTTTGAGATCTTTGATCCCTGTAGTTTGCACCAAATTTACCTTAGTCCATTTGTTTTTAGTTATGCTAATTTTGACCATATAGTTTACCAAACGTTTCAATTCAATGACATGTGTAACTTTCTATTCATTTTCTTGATGGTTATTATACAAAATGGTCATTGAGATTTGGATGATTAATAGAAATGGTGACTGAGATTGAAAATCAATAGAAATGGTCCCTGATATTGTCTACCATCCATGATTTTAGTGATTTCTTTAAAAAAACTTTGGGCAATTTTCAAAGATTCGTAACTCAATCGATCATTAACCAACTTCGACCCATAATATATTAAAATGAAGATAAGAAAGTGTAGAACAAGATTATACCTATTCGGAAGCCCAATGATTGCTGGAGATGGCCGGAAAATAGCCTGAAAGGTGACTGGTCCGTTGGAAAACTGGAAAACTAGCCGGAAACGTTCATAACTTCTTCAATACTCAACAAAATCGAGTGATTCAAAAACGAAAATCATACTTCTCGATGAGACGAAGAGAATGGTATCTTTCTTTACTGCTAGCTTGTCGTGGTTTGGCTGGAAAACTGCTTGAAAATGGTTAGCCACTTTCGAGCCGTTGTCCGACCAAACCACGACGAGTTAGCCTTCGAAAAAGGTACCATTCTCTTCGTCTCGTCAAAAAGTATTATTTTCGTTTTTGAATCACTTGATTTGGTTGAGTATTGAAGAAGTCATGAACGTTTAAAGTTTATCCAGTTTCTAGCGAGTTTTCCAATTTTCCCGCGGACCAGTCACTTTTCAGGCTATTTTCAGGCCATATCCGGCAACCATTGGGCTTCCAAATAGGTATAATCTTATTCCACACTTTCCTATCTTCATTTTAATATATTATGGTTCGAATTTGGTTAAGAAACGATTGAGTTACCAAGCTTTGAAAATTGCCCATAATCGTTTTTAATGGAATGACCAAAATCATTGATAGTGGACAATGTCAGAGACCATTTCTATTGATTTTCAATCTTAAGGATCATTTCTATTGATTATGTAAATCTCATGGACCATTTTGTATAATAACCCTTTTCTTAAAGACTCAATGACATGACATAATAAAAATGGCCTATTAGGAGGAAAAGAGGAGGCTAAGGCGGCGTATTAGGAGTAAAAATGGGATATTATCACTCATGGCCCCAAACGTATGTATAGAAACTCAAGTCTTTTAAAAGACGCAACTCTACGAAGAAAGTCCTCGGCTCGAGCATGTCGGAATGAGTTAGTGAAGAAAGAAATTTGAAATCCGTCGTTGTTCAATCAGGCACAGATAGTGAACAGAGTTATAATTGTGCTTGAGTTATATATGTGAAATTGAATTTATGAGCAATCATATGCAAAGAAAATGAACAGTAAATTACAAAGACTTCTCGTTGAAGTGAAACTAGAGTAAACCACAACGTCAAAATTATGACTCTGACAAAAATAACGGGTCAAAATTGACACAATTAAAATTAACATGGATAAAAGTGAAATTTGGAATGACCCACAAGGATCAACCCTGAAATTTAGCCTAACAGATATAAGTATAACGGCGCCGAAAACTAACAGACAAAGAGAGAGAGAGGGAGAGAGAATGGTGATGTGGTCGTACCCACCGACGCGGAAGCAGCTGGCCGTGACGGCGTTCTGTTTCGTAACGGGGGTGGCGCTCTTCGCCGTCGGAGCTCACCTATCGCTGGCAAACGTGGGCCCACAACAAGACCGGGTCAAGGCTCGAAGGGACTTCGTCAGAGACAGACTCAGAAAGCTTCTCGATGATGATTGAGATCAAACGGCTGCAGCTGCTTCTGTCTTTCTGTTGGTAAAGAATCAGATTAATAGGGTTTACAGTGCCTTTTATTTTTTAATTAACGGATTTTATTTTATGAAAACTAATTTGATTTTTAACCGGTAAAATAAAAGATAAAGTGAATAATATTATGATTGATTTTTTAATGTAAAAATGTGATTTTTTGTTAAAATGAATAGGAAACTTTTCGTTAAATTCCCTTTTATTTTCCCATTTGTAATTTTCATGGAATTGGAACACAAGTTGTTGAGTTTAATTGGTTTGATGCTTTGAAGAGGGCTAACACAAAAGCTGATATTTGCTGGTTTCTGACCATGAGATGACGATTGTATTAAATACACGTATAAGTATTTTGCGGATTTCTGATTATCAAAAGTAGAAAATTGCAGAATGCTGTAGCTATGTAATCTTTTTTGTGCAGATCAAGCCAGCCAACTAGGGGAAGGACTTGCTATCTTCACGCCCCAACCCGCAGTTTTGGTGGTTGCGGTTTTGGATATGGATTCAGATTGGGATTCAGCATTACCGCTACCACCAACATCCGAAGTGAATCTAATCTGATTTTGGAACCAATACTGCAACCATCAAAACCGCGGATTGGGGCGTGACACTTACATACATCTCCGAGATGACATTGTGATGTTGCAGAATAATGATACAGTGTTATGTGTTGTAATTTTTTTACATACCACTATATTATTAGATTGAGACTTCACATTGGCGTCTTGTCTATATTGTATGATTGATCAAACCAACGTTGGATTTGTTTGTGGAATCAGTCCGCCCCATTCAACCAGGGTAAAGCAAAAAGTTGTACTTATCCTATAATTTGGTTATAAATATTTGCTCCCAATTGTTGGCTAGTTTGAAGTGTTATTAAAATAGCTGAAAACTCTTTTAGTGAATATGTTTTTGGACGCAATCTTCAGTAAAAATACAAGTAAATCATGGAAAAATTTAGTGTTTCCTAAAAGCGTTCTCTTGAAGCACTTTCAATCATTTTAATTTTTAAATATACTTCCAAACGAGCCAGCACAATGGTCTTCCACCATTCCCAACTGCACATGCAGATAACCCTTCACCCATCTCCGTAAAATTCCCTCAAATTATTAGGAACCTCCTGCCTCCATATACGTAATTGAAAAGCTGTCCTCTAACCATGTCCATTAAATTTAGAAAACTTTAACGAAAAATCATATTTTTATATTAAAAAATCAATTCTGGTACTATTCATTTTACCTTTTATTTTGCTCTTATCATTAAAACTTAAAGCTTTCAGATCTTTTTCATTAATTTTCTTTTAAATTTAAATAAGCGCATAAAATAATATGTGCCAAAATTCTTTGACAAACTAAAAGTGACCTTGGACCATTAAATTTCTTTAGGGTTTATAATTACAGTCAAAAGTTCACTGAATTTGGAAAGATTATTCGGTGTTACCGGTTTTGTAAATTCAAATCGATACATAATTGTAAACGACAGTTGATTAGCGCAAAATTGTTCGTTCGCTACAACCGGAAGCACAATCTCCTTTCAAAACACAAAATCTTGCAAAATTACTGTCTAAAAAAAACACCGGAAATAAGGTAAATACAGATTACTATTAACATGAAGGAAAGAGAAACAGAAAAGAAAAAGAAGCTAATATATAATGTTTCTATATAACTGAGACATAAATCACATCTTTCTTTGAAAAATCTACAGAACAAGCTTCTTAAGCGAAAATGGCGTTGGTATAGCGCAGAATGAGCAGCGATTACTGCAACTTAGCAGCTCCTGGTGATCACAAGCCAAAAGCATCGATGGGCCAAAACGCTGCTTCTCATCATTCAAATCGCCTTCCTCAAAGCATGGCCTTCTACAGCGCTACCCTGCATTTGAGCATCGACCGTGGCAAACAAAAGGCTTCACCGTTTATACCTTCTGCCATTCTGGCCTTCATCTTTCACTTCCCCCAATCTTGACTTCGAACCACTGCCTTGCGCGCTGGGAGGCCTATCTTGAAATGTACCGGTAGGATCCCTTGAAGGCCATGGCTGCCCCCATTGCTGTGTGGGACTAGCGTGAACTATAGCATGTCCAAGCCTAGAACCAGACAACATTTGGTCCCGAATACCCCTTGATGATTTATGTCCTTGCATTTCGTTTGCACAACCTTTTCCTTGCCGTTGCCTTTGCCTCTCCAGTTCAGGAAACCTCTCCCAATCTATCCCGTCTCCTGAATTTTGGAGCCTTTCAGTTTGCATGCCCCATTCCACTCCATCTGATATACTTCTTTGCAAAGAAGTGCTTCTTCTCGGTGGCTTCCCAGAAGTACACTTGCTCCCTTTGATTTCTTCAACATAAGGTGCTGCCCACCTTGGATCACGAGTGGCTGCTGAAGTGTGATTCAAGTTGTAGCTTTCGCTGTTGTTGCCCATACTTAACTCTATGGAATGAAGATCACTTTCAGCAGAATCCTCTTCGCATTCTACTCCGTCTTCAACTTCTCCTTCATCCTCATCTCTTTCTTCATCCTGACAGGAACCAAGATGAGCTTTACTTAGATACGCAGAAATTTCTTCGTCATTCAGATGAGTAGAACTGCGTCCTTTTTCTTTGGTTGCCTTACTTCCCATGAAGGCTTCAAGTTGACTCCTCAACATATCAACGGCTGCATTCTTCTCTTCAAGAAGATGTTTTGCCTCTGAGAGTTTCACTTGAGCTCTCTCCTCACGCAACAAGTCAGCAAACAGCATCATCTCCCTTTCCTTCTCAACCTCATCACGAACTTTTGCGGATTCCCTCTTCATTTCCTCTGCTTCATCTTTATCTTCAGTCACATCCCGAGCTAATTCATCACATACTTGTTCCATGATCTCTCTTGTTCTCTTTTCACCTTCGAGTTCTTTTGCCGTATTAACAAGAGAGGCTTTTGTCTCCGCCAGTTCTTTCCTGAGTTTCTTGTTCATGCTTTCGAACCTCCCTCTCAGTCTCTTCTCTACCTCAAGTTCTCCTGCAACAGCCTCAATGGCAGCCTCGACAACTTTATGCTCCTTGCTTTTCCAAGCTGCCTTTTCTTCAGCAAAACACTTCATAAGGTAGTTGATCTCATTCTGGTCCGAGCGTTGTTCTTGGATCAGCTGATTGACCTGTAAACGAGCCCTCTCCAGCTCAGCATGTAACGCTGAGATAAGGGCCATGCTTGACGAAGGTCGATCTTCATTACCCCAAACACAGTTGATAATTTTCAGTAGCTCTTTAGATGTGGTCAAAGAATTACTAACATCTTTCAAACGTGTCTTGGCTCCAGCTGTAGAAGTATTAGGCGTCTGGGCGCGTGATCTAGTCTCAACCTGTATAACAAAAAATGAGAAGAAAAAAATACTATCGTCCACATTAATAAATCATACAGTTGAAATTCCAATAAACAATCATCTGACTTGAATTAACAAAAGTTAAAATCCACAGATGTGATTACTTCAAATGAGCAAGAGTGAGGCACACTCCTTCCTGATAATAAGGTGGATCACTGACTCACCTCCATTAAGCTACCATTGCCATGAGAATCCAACATTCCAGCATGATGGTCTGTGAGCCTGAGCCGCCTCTGCGAAATGGGCGACGCCCTTCTATGGAAACTACCGGTTCCAGACCGATCCATCCTCTACAAAACGAAAACACACAGCACGAAAAAATTGCAGTCAATCTCTCAACCGATATGCCTAACAGATGCTGACCAATATCAAAAATATCAGAAGGATCGAATGTACTATAAATTTAACAAAAAGTTTTCGAATGAGACATATAAACTCCAAATTTACCAAAACGTTACAATCAACTGGCTATCAAACAACAAGATCAAATTGCCGCAAGCATGACGAGAAAAAGACATGTATGCTGGGACGAAAAATCTCAAAAAAGCTACTTAAAAACTAAAACCTTAAATTAAAACCCAAGCTACATTTTCCATCAAATTCCCGCAAATTTTCTCAGCAACCAAACAGAACTAGAAGCATAGAGAAAACCCACCTCGGAAACGGGACTATGAGATGGATCGGAGAGATGGGGCGGCAGAGAACCGGAGTGCGCCGATCTCGCAATCCTCTCCCTCTCTCTGGCCTTACGATTACGCGCCTCCATCTTCCTCAGCCGCCTCTCGTCCGACCCCTCTTTCACTCTCGGAGACGGCATGTCGTTCATTTCCCAGAGCGTAGCGGCTAGCTTCCTCGCCGACACGGGCTGCTGCTGCTTAGACCTGGCGCCGCCGTTCTGGGAGTAGTTGGGTGAGTCCATGGCGCGCAATGCGGAAGCGGTGGGTGACCTGGAGCTCATGAGCTTCCAAGTGGGCACGGGCGTACTGGATCCGCCCCTCTTCCCAACCAGAATCGCCCGCTTGAATCTGTAGTTCTGGATGATCGACGATGACGACGACGCCGACGACGAACAACCCCGCTTCCGGATTTTTCCAGGGATCATCAGGTCCATCCCCAAATTGCTGTTCGGCCTCGGCATTCTCAAATTTTCAAAAAAAAATCAGAGCAAAAAGATGGAAACTTGGGAGATTTGGGTTCAGGGGATGGCGAAACCCACCGTTTTGTCCATACCGGAAACCCTAGAGAGAGAGAGGGAAGGAGGAGAGAGAGATTTTGATGGCGCCGACTGAGTGGAGGGTTGTAGATTTGAGGAGTGCAGAGTGTTAATCTTGTGCAGGGACTGTGTGCAAAGGGGAAAGGAGAGGAAGGAGGATGGCGGGAATGATTGCATGAGGTGGGGATTAGGTGAGACTAAAAGCGCGGCGAGCAGTTACTGGCGGCGGTGATTCGGCTGTTCTATGGGATTACTTGTCTTCACCAATCGTGTGGTTGTGATTTCTACTTGGGGATTTAGGGTGCTTCACGTGAAGGATTAAACAACTATTGTTTTCAAAATTTGAAGTTTATTAGCGAAAGAACAATGTGTGGTTATTCAAGAATAGGTATGATCTCTTATTTAAAAAATTTGGTGTTTGAATCACAAAGTTTTATTTTTATGATCAGGACTATTTATATTATGAATCACTTTATTAAGATCATTTCTGCGAAAATGAATTAAAACTAAGTTCGTTTAGTTGATATTGCAGCAAATACATAGACAGTTTGTAATACTTTTACCAATTATGTTCATCTATTTTTATAAAATTCAATGACTAAAATGACCTTAGTTTGACTTTATTTTTTGCAGATGCAATATTTATAGAGAGATTTATAATATGAATGGTTTTAATCATAAACACAAAGTTTTATGAATCGGCAACAAACAGTATTGAATATGAACTCTTACTCATTCTTTGTGTTCTTAGCGAAATTGAGCGTTTTTTTTTTTTTTTTTTTGAAGCTTTGGGTTCATCATGGAGAACACCTGTTTTTTCTTTCTCAAATCTCAATTGTTGAAATATGAAAAAAAAAAATACAACGTAATTTTATAAGGCTAAGTTTGTGAGAATATGAAGATTGTCAAACATTAAAAAGTAAAGAAATTCTATATGAACTTATAAGAGATTGGATTACTTTCTCTATTGGGACTCTAACTTTCATTTTAACGTTGTCTGAATAAAGTAGCCCGCTCATAGTGCATCTTTCTGGTCTAAAGCCACCATGATTGTATAATGAAAAATGATAAACACGCACCTATTAATAAAAAATAAAAAATAAAAAAAAAACTAAAGGAGAATGTGTTGTAGTAGCATGTATAGTTGGGTTATTGGTTGTTTGCAGGTGCTCACCATGTAGATTTGAGGTTCAAAAATAGTGAAGATCCAAAATGGCTTGAAGAAGTGAGGAAACAAGAGATCAAGATCATTGTAAAAATGGATCTCCCAATACTTACCATGACCTTTCTCAACTATCTTAATCATATCAACACACGTTCATACTCAATGAAAGTTCATGGTTTGCCTTAAAAATTGACGGCTGAAATCTAAAGGGGCGTCTCATTTTTCTTTAGACAATGACCCTTTTTTTTCTATGCCAGCGATAATGAAAAGGGAGAATTCGAACACAGAATCTTCAATGCAAGGGTAAACACTCTTAAGTATTTAAGTTATAAGCTCGTTACAAATAATGAATCTTGGGCATGGAAAATTTGAGCATATAAAGCGGTTAGGTTTGTAGAAAAAAGATTGATCCAAACCTAACAGGAACGAATATCAACAATTCCAACCAAATGAAGTTCGTAAGAAAATTCACATTACAAGGACGAACTAAAGCCTATCACTGTCAGCAAGCCCAAAACAATATTCAGATTCACAAATTGTGGAAACCTGTAAGTGGTAATTGTTCTGGATAGGTCTTTCTCTTCAATCCATTATTCAGGCCTTAAAACTCTTCTTCCTCTTCTTATTTTAGGCGTGTTTATCTAACCATAATTTGAATCAAACACACGGAATTGAATTCCGATTACGGAATATATCTTTGTTTACTAAACTTGGAGAGTAAAAGAAAAGGTGGGATCCACACAAAATTTGGGAATTCAATTCCAAAATTTGGACAATTTGGATTCCTTAGATTAACATGGTATTTGGATTCCTGATCGCTTAGGCAATCGGAATGACACTTTTGTTCTCTTTATGCCCTCACTTACTTTTTCTATTTTCAAGACTATCCTTTATAAACCCATTAATCCTAGTTTAATTATGCACAATTCCTTACTTTTTTTTTTATGTCCATGCTCATTCACATTATGCACAACTTCATGCATATGCCGAAGAGAAGAAACTATAACTTGAGCGAGAAAATTTAAATATTAAAGTAAATACTTAAATTTATAAATAAATTAATTAATTAAACAAAAGCATTTTAGTGTGTCTATGAAATTAAAAAACAATTTAATTTTTTTTACCATTATATATTATATCAAATTTTATTGAAAAAAGTATATAAAATATTTGATTTGGGACAAGGGCGTTTTAGTAATAATATTGGTTTATATTCCGATACTACTGAATTAATAAACAGTTTTATGAAATTAGTGTCATTTTTATTCTAATTCCAGAATATTTAAGTAAGCAGCTTCAACAAGAATCCGATTCTAATTTCTCTTCATTCCAACTCCTCTTCAATTTATTTCTTCCTATTTTCATTACGATTGCATAAACACGCTACTAGGTTAGAGTAGTAATATGGCCAGTATTCGAAGGATAAAAAATAAAAAGAAGAATTGTGGAAACCCAAAAGAGACAGAACATGTTGGAGACTTGGACCTAATGCAAAGGACAGGTCCAATAGTTTAATGGCATGTCTTGCTTGGGCCTAGGATCTACTATACTTTCTATGAAGCCTGCAGTCAACAAAGCCAGTGCCACAGCCCAAAAACCCATTCCATTATGTTAAATGACAGGTCCAAGTTCTAAAACTTCGGCAAGTGTACACAAACGCAGATTCAATGGCTTAAAAGCACTTGAAAGTACTTCTTCAAAGTCTTAACAACTCATAAGCGCTTTTAATGTGGTTTCTGGTGAAGCATAATCAGAAACGTTTCAAAAGGTTGTTGTCAAACGTAATCAGAAACATTTTTCAACGTAAAAAAACCCTTTATAGACACAAACGAGCCTCTCAATTATTTTGTTACCTGCCTAACAAAGGAGCTGGACGTTTAGGCCATTTCCAATCGGAAGGGCTAAACATAGTTCCGTCCTGAATTATAGCCCTACAAAAAATTATCTTTTAATGAACAATATCAAGTAATACTAATGTATCATCTCCAAACGAAATGAGCTAAACATAGCCTCTCTCAATAATTTATTACTTTTAAGTTTATACTTTAAATTTATTGGTAATTTAGTTAAACTACCATTGGATTTTTTCAAATATAGCAATTGAATTTGAATCAATTATTACAATTGAGGAGTTGAGCCCCAAAAAAGGGCTATGGGGGGGCTACATTTGGCAAGCCTAATGACCCTTTCACCAAATAATAACCTGGTAGGCTCCACAAAATTATAATCCAGCTATCATTTAGAGATGAGTTTTTTGACAAATCAAATCATTTTTTAGCTTTTAGACCTTTAGCCCTCTCCATTAGAGATGACCTTAGTGCAAGAAAATAGATGTAACATAAGGAGACAAAGGCAATGAGATGCATGTCAGATAAAGAACGTGCTTATACTAACTGTGGATAATGTGCTGATATCGATTGATGGGGTCCCAATTCGGCTCACTTTCTTCAGAAGTTAGGCAGGGAACGGAAGGGATCAAGGGGAAAGGTCGGTTCATTGTTCAAACTTCAAACTTTGGTGTTGTGGGTCTTCCATTTAAGACCATCTTGAAGGTGAAATCTTTCTTCTATGATGTGAAAGTCTTTTGATATAAACATCATTGGCCTACATTATTATATGCTAAGTATGATTAACTCCAAAACTGGTTGTGTTTATTTTTTATACAAACATTCTATGCAGTTTTGATGCATCAACTGTCACAAACAATTTACGAGTGTAACCTTTATTTCATGGTTTTTCTTGATTGTATTTATTAGGTTTTTGTCATCTCCTGGTAGTAGTGACTCACTATACCGCGGTGTATATAGAGGAACCCAGTAAGACCAACGTGATTACATGTCAATTTGTTATTAATTGATAACATTTTGTGACAATGACAAGTGCAACGCCCCTGTTCCATTTAAGACTTTTAGGAAGACAAAATGAAGAGCTGTTTCATGCCAATAAGTGATCGCAGTTCATTGGGCATGCGCGATGACATATTCCATCATTGAATTATTCAGATCAATGAGATGTGAGCTTAGTAGTGAGTCTAGTGACCAATGCAGCCTGTCAATGATTGAGTAACTTGTTATAAACTCTTACAAGCCCTACATGCTTCAATATATACCACAAATTAGTCTAACATCGACCAATCTCCCGCACATGTGAAAGGTTTAATACAAATTGTCTAGATGTTATTTTAAAAATTTCTGCCTAACACCGCCCAGGCCCCTCCTAGGCGCTAGGTAACTGGTCACTGTCCTGATTAGTCCCTAGGTTTTTGAAAATTAAGAACGAACGCTTAGACCTGCTTAGGCGTCCTCCTAGGTCCTATCTAGCCTGGCCAAATCTCACCTCACTTACACAAAAATAGATAACTTTCATTTTTGAATTATGTTATAATACTTTATAATCCATGTCATTTTATTTTATAATTTATGGATCCTAATGCAATTATGTATTTTTTTAAATATAAGTAGCACTTATTTGTACAATATACAATAAAGTTAAATAAATTTGTCTAGGACACTAAGCTCCAACCCACCACCCGACTAGCGTTTAGCGTCTTTATGAACCTTATTCTTACTTGTCATGCCCAGTTTTTGATGTAGAAACGGGAGGCCTACGATCTTGTTAACCCATAAGAGAATGCTACCTCTGAGGGGATCCCAAAACGAATCCACACACACGTAGTTTTTTATTATCTACACTATGAAAAAATGGGTGGACTTAGCCTCACAATGGGCTAGCAATAACGTGGTTCAAACTTGCGGCGAGAATCGAACCTAAGACTTCTCACTTATAAGTAAAGAAAAATATCACTAAACAGTATTACTAAGTGGCCGCACACGCGTAGTTATTGCTTAATTAAAAAGC